AGACATACAAAAATGAACGGAAAATTGGAGAGAGGAAGAAAAAGATTGATCATCAGTTGCAGAGGAATATGATTAAGGAAGAGAATATGATAAGAGATGTTAAACAGTAGAGTAGTGGTGGTGATCAGATGACCCTGCGGACAAAGACTGAGAGAGGCTTCTAATTAATTCGTACAGATATGAGATAGGAATGCATCAGCTTCGGAATCAAAATACAGCAACTCAGGTAAGACACATTAAAAGCGTTTAGTTTCCGAGATAAAATCACATATACGGTCATAAACAAAGAGAAATGCCTTTTTATATGAAATAATATTCAAGAGAATAGTATCCAAATCTAGTTTGATGCCCGCATTATGGAATTTTGAGAATAAAATATTTCGCGCATGATTATAATGAGGGCATTTAAGGAAAAAGTGTTTCGTGTCCTCAACTACTTGAACGGAGGGTGATAAAACTAAGCAGTTTTCGCAAAGATTTTCGGAGACAAGTTTATGCTGCTTTAGATGATGGTTTAATGCAGAGAAATCGACTCTTAGTCGACAAAATAGCGCATCAATTCTCCGATTCAGCAGACAGGGTAATTTGCTTGCAGGAGGTAACATTTGGTTTTTAACGTCTATGCGGAATTTATAAGGTTTCGATTTATTTTGAAAGTCAGGTCTTTGTGAAAGTAGTTCGATCCATTCTTTAATAGCAGTTGGAAAGAAAGGATTCTGGAAGAAAACACTCTTATTTCTATAATCATACAGTTGCTGGCTGCTGTTGTTTCTTAACGAATATTTCGTGTTCTTTGGTTCGGTAAACTTAAAGTATTGATTAGGTGTCCTAATTAGGCCAAAGTAATACTTAAAAAATATACGCAATTGAGCGCAGCACGATTGAGATTCCATTTAACAAGGCGCATATAATTATGAGTTGAATTAACTTTGCTGATAACGTAGTCCACATGGGAATTCCAAGAGAGATTAGAAGCAAAAAATAGTCCAAGATGCTTATGGAGCGTTACTTCCTTAACCGGTTGCTGTTGGATTATTAGCAGAGGAAAAGAATTCGAAGTAATTGCTCGTTTTGAGAATAGCTGAGCCTCACATTTATCAATATTTAAATAAATGTGCCATATTACACACCACTGTAATATCTTTTCAGGATCTCTATTTAATACATCTGTAGAGTGTTGAAGAGTTGAGCCATAGTGAAAAGGAGTAGCATCAGCAGTATAAAGTTTATAGAAGGACTGAAGATTTTGGCGTAAGTCATCAATATAAATAAGAAAAAGCAGTGGACCCAGGGGCCCTGAAGAACCCCGCAATTTATCTCTAAGACATCAGAAGCAAAACCGTCTATTACTGCCCTAATCTTTCGGCTCTTTAGGTAATTCTCTATCCAACTTACAACCTGTTCACCTTTTTGTCGAAGTTTAAAAATAAGACCTCTGTGCCACACCGAATCAAATGCTCTAGAAAGTCAAGAAAAGTTGCCCGCACAAAACCAACCTCTTCTAAACCTTCATGAATGTAATGTATTAGGCTAAGTAGTTGGTTTACGCAAGAATCCCGTTTCACGAAACCAGATTGATGAGCAGAAATAAGTTTATTGGAAAAGAGATAATTATAAAGTGAAAATTACCCTTTCCATCGTTTAACCTATAACCGGCAACAGTGTAATTGGTCGATAATTTTCTACTTCATGTGTGTTACGTTTGTTGAAAATTGGGGTAATGTTGCCTATTTTCAGAACATCAGGGAAAACAGAAAGCTCTAAACTAGAATTTATCAGATCACAGATGATAGGTGCTAGGACGCGTGTAGATTCTTTAGTTATTGTTGCAGTTAAACCCTCAGCAACTGCCTTATTTGGCTCGATTTTATTCATGACTTTCATTACATCTACAGGTGAAACGGTTACAGATGACATTCTAACTGCAGTTGTAAAGTGGAAGGTTTTTATTTATTTGGGTTGGAGACATAATACAGGTAGAAGCAAAATAGTTATTAAAAAGCCTCGCCTTCTCTTTAGAATCATCAGTATCTAGACCATTTAGTGTACTGATCGACGGTATAACGCTTGTCTTATTTCTACACAAGACCTTATTTACTAGTGCCTACCAGGCTTTGCTTGAGGAAGAAATTTTCGCGGATATTTTCTTGTAGAACTGGTTTTTAACCACAATACATGCATTCTCAAATTCATCTATACCATAAGGCTTTTCTTCAAGAGAAAAAGCCAGAAGCCAAAACAAATTCAGGATTTTACTAGTAACTATCTCAAATAACCTTAAAGAGACTTTCTTCTCAAAGATGAAAATTACTCATAAAATAAAAACGTTTTAAAGCTATGCCTTTTCATACAGTTTAACCTTCCAAAAAAAACAGAACGTTATTGCGTGGAATTTTTTTTCTAGGTCGGTGAGATCAGTCTATCGGTTTTTTTTTCGATAATACTCTCACGAGGAAACTGCAGTTTTTATCCGAAATGGATTAAAGTTTCGAGTGAAAGTAATTTTTATCTGCCATATTGTTTCTCGCACCGAAAAATGCAAAAAACCAGCGCAAACCAAAAACGATTTTCCAGAGATCTCTTAAGAGGTAGTGCACGATATGGACGAACAAAGTTGCGCAATGAGCTGTCACAGATTTTTCTCAAATTATCAGAACAGATAGAGAAATGTGTCCTGAACATTTTTGTCTTTTGACATTTTTTTTCAAAATGCTTTCCCTTCCCGCTAGAGCGCTTGCAAAAAATGTCATAAAATACGGAAAAAAAGCGATTTTCCAGTCGAAAATTTTGCTTATGCTATAACTCCGTCAAATCAAATGCTAATGAGCTTAAAATTTTACCAGAGCTGTCTTGTTATGAGTACTACCTAAGATAAAAATTTGAACTTGTTTGAGTTAAGCGTTCTCTAGAAATAGTTTATTCGTTAGACATAGACAAAACGTCATCGGCCGTTTTGCAAAGAGGTTTTTGCAACTGAAGATGGTCCGTTTGAAGGGTTCTCTACGGTTTCGTGAAGTAGGCCCAGAGTACTACCATGAACCGTCATCGAATTTTTGGGGAAATGACGGAAAACACTCGGGAGCCTCTTGTCAAAAACGTCCACATCACCTCGGAAAAACCTGAAATTTTCTTTTGAAATCCGTTGAATTATACACCATTCGACGCAGATTTTCGCTAAAGATTCGACAAAACTGTCATTGAAAATAAGTCTCAACTTATTTGAGACTGCTTAAGCCAATAAAATGCAGAGAAAAATAAAACGTAGAATAAAGCATCAAAATCTGTTACAATAACGACATCGTCATGTGCTCTACAGAATTTCACTCTCTCTAGAATCGATACTATCTGTCCGCAATGAACGATAAAACCTGTGGATCGATAACGGCAGTAGAACAGTAACGCTAGAACGGCAGCGGTAGTACCGGTTACGGTAAACCGGTAAACTACCGCTACCGTTGCATGCCTACACATTTTATGTTGTTTTTCTCCTTTATATAGACAATACACTTAAACATCGAATAACAAACAGAACAAAAGTTATTCTAAATTTAGTTTCTTTTATACAAACGCCTCAAAGTTCAAATCAAGCAAAAACGGTTATGAACTGTTATTGTTATGTTATGTCATTAAAACTCGTTTCAACATATCGTTGTCCGGAGCGTAAGGTTTATTGAATATCAGTATGCCGGTGTCTTCGAATATTAGAGTTTGTCGACTACAGACATCGATATGTTGAAATATCCAAAAGTCTAATGGGCCCGTGTAACTCAGTTGGTTAGAGTGCTGTACTTATAAACAGTAACAGTTAAGTAATGCAGAAGCCGGCAGTTCGAACCTGCCCTCGGGCACCAAACTTTTTTGCTTGACAGAACATTTTTTGCGGCTTGCTCGAGGTTTTTTTCCAAAAATTTCTTTCATTTGGCTGGTGGAAAAAAGTTTTTTCAATTATTGTGTGTGGGGGTTGTTGAAGGGATCATCCGTGCTCGGATCACCTATCTGCACAGTTTTTTGTAGATCCACCGAAAAAACTCGTACAATATACAGCGAAACATTTGTAGAGATATTCTTCAGTTATATAAACAATATAAACCACTTTTTTCGTCAATAATTGTTTTGTAGAAAACTGAATGAAAAACATGCTTATTAGCTTAGTTTTTTCATAGAAAAAATTATTATGACTAGAAAGAGAAAGTAATGAGTTGTACATGAAGTTAAATTCCAAACTTTCGATCATTTTAAGATTTGTCACGTGAAATTGCATCTGAAAGACGATAAAAGTGATGTTTTAACCTTTTTGCAAATAATAAAGCAACAAAAATAGAAACGCATCCACTTTCTTTTATTTTAATTTTAACAGCTTCTGGCAGTCAAAACAAATATGCGTCTTATTAAGTTACCACTATATTAGAAATTATACAATTCCAGAGTAGTCAGACTGCAGTTCTCTTTGTAGGTCCAACAAAAAGTGATGAAGTTATTATTGGGTTTATTCTTATTAGTAGTTTTAAATTATAGTTTATGTACAAATATATTTTTGAATCCTGTTCTTCCAGCCAATAGAAGTCAAGTCGTTTGCTATTTTGGTAATAACTTGACTTATTCTCCACTCGTTCAAGGTAATGATTTGTGTTATATTGAACAGTATAGTGGTACTGCTGATAATTTTTACATCCAGTCAAATTCACGAAAACAGAAGGTATTAAATCGTTGTACAGGATTTTCAACCAATCAAACTGATATTGGTTACGGAACATGCACTCGACTTCCCTATGAAACGTATTCAAGTATGTCACTTTGCATTTGTTCAACATTTGGTTGTAACAGAAATTTAGCTACATGCCAAACGGCTGTCAATGCAGCTTCACCACGACCTGCTCCATTGCCGTTGGTGGTTACTAGTTTCACACAGATTATTTTGTGTGCTGAAACTAACTTCGTTCATTGGGTATCATGTCAACAAACACCATATATAAATTTTACACTGTGCATCCAATGCCGTCATGTGTATGCGGCAATTGTCATATCCTTACGGGCCATATACTCAGATTGGTTATATAAATGAAGAATCAAGTTATCAAGCTGTTCAAATTCTTATGTTACTTACATTGAATAATAGCGTATTTGATCAAAATTCACAAAGTGCCATTGTCCAATATTCGTGGAGTAATGCTACATATGCAGATTCCTATTGTCTGTGTACATCAAGTTATTGTAATCAAAATTTTCAAACATGTGCTCCCAATTTAACAAATTATATTCGTTTATGGACAATACAACAAAGTTACACAGGAACAATTCTAACAACAGTAGCAATGACAACAACATCAGCAATTCTAACAACTACAGTTAACAATGGGAAACAAACACATTCGGAAATATTTCTATTTCAGTTCATTACATACATTCTCTTTTTTCATTATAATCATTTAATCGAATCATCACAAAGAACACAGTTTTAAAGTAGTTTTAGATCGAAAAAAAAATTATTAGTACTGCAGAAAGTTTAAATATAAAGTGTTAACCAGCTCTGTTCTCAGAAAGCTAACACACAATGTTAGTAACTTTTTGCATGCGTAGGTAGTCCGGACGTTCCGCTACAAAATTATGCAAGTCTCAGCTCTCCAGCTATTGTCGTTTGAACAGGGCACGTATCTATTTCCGAGCAGACATCTCTGGGAATCTCAAAATGCCATGCAATATAGGTAATCGACTACGCTGAGCATAGAGGCAACATCTGTTTTTGTGTAGAAATGAAAATAACTTCGCCAGAGGCTTCTTTTCTTGAAAAGCCGGTTTTACTAACGTTACTAATATTGTATGTCAATTTTCTAAGAACGGAGCTGGCTTTCCGAGATCTTCCATTACAACCAAAAAAATAACTGACTCTGCTACCGTAAAGATGATTCCGACACTATTATCGTCATTTTGTTTAGTTTGCATTTTTTCAATGACTGTGTGTGTGGATCTCCGCAACATCTTCTTTTAAAAACCCAGATTTTGCTTGACAAAATAAGATGTCTTTCAGCTCTGTACAATTTTTGGTTTGAAAGATATAATTGGAGTGGTGAAGTTATACTTTTTTAAACAGAAATTTAGAAGCCAGTTCTGTATTTTATTCTCCAACTTACTCAAGAAGTAACAGGGGAACGAATGACAACGTCTGATTTTATTAAGCAAAGTCTGCGCTTTTAAAACAAGATATTGCACACAGTGGGCAATTTTGCCTAGGCATGTGGACATTGGATTCTAAAGCGCTGGAAAGATCTCTCAGATATGTTTTTGCAGGTTTTCGAGTGTGCTCTTTCTAATGGACTCACTTACAAAGTTCAAAATCCATGTTTTAAGGGTTTTCCAGAGATCCGGCTTATGGAAAACCTTTGCAAAACCAGTTTAGAATTTTTTAAATAAGTCCATTGGATCAGCCGTACTCGGAAACCTGTAAAACAATTATTTTTAGGCCTTCAGATCTCTTTTCTAACGATATAAAAACCACCGACCTCAAGTACTACGGTGCTACCTCAAATTTAGCCTTCCACGAAAACTTACAATTTTTTCCCAAAAAACTGCTGTAAATTATGTATCATTCGATGCAGTTTTTTTGCGCTGATTCTGAATATCGAATTAGTTTTCAATAAAAATGTTTCTGAGCTGAAAGAAAAAATGTTACCTAAAAAACTAAAGGTTTTTTGGAAAACCTATAAGTCAGTCCAGGATCATTTATGCTAATTTATGCTATTCGCACAGATGTATTGTGAGTAGGAGAAATATTCTGTGAAAGTTTAAATCAATTTGGAGCTTCGGAAACAGTCGGAAACTCATTATACCAAGCACAACCGTTTTCCAGCATATTTCGTATTTTTCGTTGTTTTCTTTTTCGAATTTCTCCCGAAGGAAAATTCGTAGAATAAAATTTTTTACACCATTCGATAGCGCGTTCAACGAAGTACATTTGATACTTCTTAAATCTTGAAAAATCTCACTTTCGTTTTTTCACCTAATGTCCACTTGGTTGCCCACTGTGTTGCAGTCGCTAAAAAGATACAAAATAAACAAAATAACGAAAACAGTGTCGGAATCATCTTTATGGTAGCATAGTTAGTTTTGTTGTCGATTAGTATATACAGTTGCAAGCGTTCTTTCCAACCTGCTATTGACAAACCTTCAGAACTTTTTGCTCATAGTGGAAACCGAAATGATTAAACAAGTCGACCTTTTCCTGAAGAAGAATTTCTATTCTTATTCTTATTTTCATTTATGGTAGATTTGGTGATCGAAACACTAATTTTTTAATAATCATACCGCAGTTAGACAATTTTAGTGATTAGAAAATTTCTTATCCATAAATTAATGTCTTATTCTCTTCACAGATGATCGAAAATAAAATAGAACAGGACAAAACATATTTTCAGTAATACGCATATACTGAGATTTGCGACTATATGGATAAGTAAAAAAAGATCTTGAAAAAACTTTTAGATGCAGTACATTCAATCAGAATGATAGTTGTGAACCAGCGAAAATTTAGTTTCATAAATTGTAGTTTTTTTTTTTATAAGAGCAAATGAAAAATTCTATTCGAGTAAATGACTGGAGCCACACAGTAGAGTCAACGTTATCGAACTTCCGAGTCCGAGTCATGACTCGACCTGTCTGGTTTCAAGTCTGCTGTACACTTAAAATGTGTCGCAAAGTATGAAACATGTGACTAATTTTAACTAATTTTGTGTACCAACTGTACTATTTTTATTTATACGATAAAAAAGATGAAAAAAAAACGGTCAATTTTCACGATATATAATTTCTTATAATTTCCAATGCACACTGATTTTGTCACCACTACGTTGAATTGTATAGTTATTAATAAGTGTCTCAAAATCGATTGTCATTGCTAAGATTCTAACCATGTTTTCATCTGCCTTAGGAATAATAAAGCATAGATAGCAGAGATTAGGAATATGTGTCATTTGATTCATTAAAATAAATTTCATAAGTAATGGAACATCTGTATTTGACATACAGCCTACTTCAAGATATTGTATATGTGGACAAAGATTGATAAGAATTTGAATTTGTTGTTCTTCTGTAACTTGATCAAGTTTAACTTTTGTTATTTTATTAATAACCGATTCTAGACGATAGATAATTTTAGTATCTTCAATAGATAAAGATTTTAACTGAAGTATGGGTAAAGATGACAGTTTTAATGATTCAATATTTGGTAACAAACGTAAAATATCGAGTAACATATTAATAGACATACTATTATTATCTATATTTAAATGAGTAAATTGAATCATTTTAAACGTAGATTTTAATTTATTAATAAATAGCCGATAACGTTTGGTAAATTTATAATCCATGATAGTCAATTGTATAATACAATGATCAATGGATTTTTCTCGATTAGAAATATAGTTATTTTCTATTGAATTTTGTTTTGAATATGTGTCAGTATTCATATGTTCATAATGATCGATCCATTCTTTTCTGATAAAGAAAAAAAAAAACGAAGATATATTGAATCATTTTATAAAAGATTTTTCTGAATATACCTATATGGATGAATAGAAAAAACCATTTCATCACAATATACTTGTAGCTCACGAAACCATTTTCGTTCAAACCAAAATGGTGAATTAAATCGATTAATGAATCCATCACTTGAATCACTTGAATTTGTATTCATATCATCATCAATATTCTGAGTAAATTGAAAGTCGAATTTTTCTAATTGAGGCATATATTTTTTAATTAATCGTTCCCAACGATTACCATCAAGATAAGATTTATTTGCAGGTATACCAATTTTCAATATTTGTAATTGAGAGGATATTTCTTTAATAAATACTTCAAATTCATCAAATGAAATATGACATTCTTCAAAACAAATATATTTTAAATGTGGTAGTTTTATCGATAGATCTTTTTTGACATTTTTATCTGATATAATTAGTTGATGACAAAATAAATGACGAAGTTGTGGTGTGTAGAGTACAAAAATAATCAATAACAAGATATTCGATCGTACTAAATTTTTTATTGATTACATGTGAAATATTCATTTGTAATTTATCAACAGGAGATATTGATAGTTGATTATATTTTAATGAAGATAAAGAAAAAATTAATGGATAAATATTTCCAAGATTATTGTAATCATCATCTTTTATAGAAATGCTTAGTGAAAAGAGACGAGGTAAAGAATTTAAATAAAAAAGAGTTGCGAGTAATTTTTCTGTTTTTATTCCATTAAGAATAATTGATTCAAGACGATGAAATGATGAATCAATAGTACAATGATTAAAGAAGTTATTAATCAATGATTGATCAGTCAAATGAAGGGAAAGAATACGATGTGAATTTGGAATAATAACATGTCGACAACGATATTCGAGTAGAGATTTTGATTTTGAACAAAGATTTATTCGAAGTAAAATTGACGACGAAATGATAAGATTTTGTAAACGAATATTAAGATTTGACAATGATTTATGTATATCATAAGCATCAAGATATTCGAATATTTCGTAAAAAAGTTCATTTGATAAACTTTCTAAACAGGTGTACGATATACTGGAAAAAATAGAAAAAAAAGATGATACATTCTAACAGATGCGTTTATTATTTACCTTTCGTCACTCAATTTTGCTAAAGAAAAAAATACGAAAAGAAAAACAATGAAAAAAAAAATTACTCTAATATATTTCTAACTTACTTCGTAACTTTTTTGTTTCCGTATCAATCGATTGACTCAAACGTAGTTGTCGTTTGATTTTAATCATAGTTATTCAACAAGTAAATATAAATTGTGAAAGTTTTCTCAAGTGTACAAAACTGACTCAGTGTGACGTTGTGAGAGAAACTGTTTTTTTTTAACTGTTCTCTTTTCTCGTTTTCTTCTACACAGAAAGAAAACGTGACAAATGTGAAGCAAATGTCAATAGACATAGCTATATCTGAGATGATATGTATATCTCTATCTGAATGCTAGAGGTCGATTTATTCTTCTTTTCTCTATCATTTTCTCCTCGAAAGAAAGACAAGTAAGTACTTAAACAAACAAGTACTTAACAAATAAGTACTTAAAGACGTGTTAAGTATTATAACTGTCGATAAAAGACAATATCTTTTCTTTCTTCTTTTGTAAGTTGGGAAAAACCACAGAAATTATTCGATAACTGGAAAAAATCAAGTTAACTTTGGATCTTATTTCATAAGATCAACGGTTGATTAAAACATATATGCATTTCAGTAAATGTATAGAATAGTTTGTTATAGTATGATTATCTATGTTTAACATTTCTTTCTTTCCTTTTTCTAGTCTGTGATCGTACAATTTAGGGGTGCAACGATTCCGATTCTTGGCTTGAAACTGACTAGAATCGAATATCAAAATCGACCGGAACCGACCTAGAAATAGAACTGGAATTGACCAGGAGTTGATTAACGCTTTAAATTGAACACATATAGGCCTAGAATTGAAATTTTTGATCAGTCAATGAAACTTCTGGTTCAAAAGATGTTAGTGTGGATGAAATATTATCGACTAACCAAAAATCCTTGAAAAATCTGACTGACTGATCAAAAATTTCATTTTCAGATTAATTTCAGTCAATTCCTGGTTAATTTCAACTCCATTTCTACCTTCCAGCCAATTTTAGGTTAATTTAAATGTCAGTCAATTACCACTACATTTCTAGGTCAGTTTCAGTCAATCCCGATCCCAATCAATTCCAAGACAAAAATCGAGATCGATGCATCCCTACGTACAACATACATAAAAGGTGTCTGATAAGTTTTTGATCCCTTCATGTAATATTCTTTCCTTATATATTTCTCCACTCGAACAGGCTGAAATTTACAGCATATATATACTAAACATCCAGATCTACTCTGTGCCAGAATTTAATTTTTCTATCTCTTTATAAGCACAGGAAATTAAGTAACATAATATTCATTAGCATTTTTTAAATTATTTTTACAAACAACACACATAAAGAAATTATACTCATCCGATCAATCTCTTATAAAGAGTAACTTTTATTTTTTCTGCGTATGGAAGAAAAATTCTTATGAATTTTATGTTACTTGATTAATTCTCTGTGATTATAAAAAGATAGAAAGATCAAACTCTAGCCTAGAGTAGAGCTATAGTATATAGCTGTAAATATCAACCTGCTCTACGGGAAAAACATATAAGAAAAGAGTATGCATAAAGGGGAACAAAACTTATTAGAGGTTCTTTATATACCTTTTTCTTTCTTTTTCTTCTATTCTTATTATTACAATACTTCTCGTCATTACCATGTTTTCTTCCCAGTGCTTTGATTTTTCCTTAATTCATTCATATATGTTGTTTTCTTCTCTCATTGATATATATATAATCATCATTTCGACAATAATGGGTGATCGAAACATTTTTAGACAAAATATGAAAAGCTGAAATATATTAGAATTAATTTTCTTTATTGATTACATAGCTTATGTTATCCGCTATCTGCACTGTTAATTTGAGATTTTTCTATTAATCATTTATTGTCAAAATGATTGATCTTCATAAACGTGTTTTTTCTATACTTGGATAGAAAATCAAAGGTGTGCTATAAGAATTAGTCTCAGTATTTTTGAAATTTCTCCTTTATTATTGCCTTAATTGAGATATCTTTTTTTCATCAAAAGCCAGTGCTTGAAATTCTCTACAAAAGCATATATGGCTATATTCTAAAGTTATCTCAGTTAAAAAAGATGAAAAAGAAAGACATACAAACAGTTGTAGAAAATAAACAATTATTTCGGAGACGATGACATTCTCAGTATATGAATGTCATAAGTCTGTTTCCGAGCAAAATTTCGACCACCTCTCAAGAGCGGACCGAATCTGCACGCTTGACTGGATTTTTTGTAGTTCTGTGGGCACATAAACACAATGCAAGCTACTACTACCAAACAACTATCAAAAAATAGGTGTAATTTCATAATCACTATTTTAATGTTTATTTTTTACAACTGTTTGTATGTCTTTCTTTTTCTTCTTTTGAATTTAACTGAAATAAATTTTAAGCCTAACTAAATACGGTTTTGCAGAGAATTTCAAGCACTATCTTTTGATAAACAAAAAAGGTATTCAAATCATGGTAATAATAGAGGAAAAATTCCAAAAATATTGGAAGGGTAATTCTTATCATCCGTTTTGGTATTTTCTGTCCAATTATAGAAACAACATGTTTATGAAGATCAATCATTTTGACAATAAATGTTTAATAAAAAAATCTCAAATGAATAGCGCAGAGAGAAGATACGATAAGCTATGTAATTACTAAAAAAATTAATTCTGATATATTTCAGCTGTGAATAGTTTGTCTAAAAACGTTTCGATCATCCGTTAAAGAAGTAGTTCGGCGTTGATCTATTAGATCAATCACTCATCAACATACTTATACCAAGTTCGATTTTTTCCAACCGTTTCTCAAAAGTTATTTTGATCTCCCGGAGATCAAAATAACTTTTGACAATGTTAAAAATACCTTACAAAAGGGCCTTTTGTAAAGTATTTTTAACATTGTCGACAACTGCATGAACGAACCATGTTTTATTCGTCTAACCAATTCGAAGAATTTGTCTTAAAAAATAGCTCAGTTTTATGTAAGATCATGTCAATTATGTTTTAGTGTCATTAGTGATGAACTATGTATTCATTTTGGATAGAATGGACAAACGTTATTCATGGAGATACTTTTGAATGAAAAACTTTGTCTGATATATTGTGTCAATCGAATGGTACTGTTCTTGTACATAGTGTAGATCAAAAATATTATATAGAAAATTATCTGAAGCTTTTTGTTAATGAAATATGAACTGAAACAAAGCAAGTTTGATTCTTTCCATTAATAATTCGGCATAAAAGAATGATGAAACAAAATATTCAGAATTCATTCTCTGTTTTTAAAACAGATAAAAGCTAACCATTCAGTATAATTATATTTCATAGAAACACAAGTAAAAAGTCTTTCATATCTTCAATCAGTAGTTGTATAAGTATTCTATGATAAATTAAGAAATTATGTCGAATTCTATAACGAATATGTATATATAGTACAGCTAAAACTTTTTAGAAATCGAAAATGAATGTATGTTGAGATGAGATTTCCGCTGGTTCGATATCTGAATAGAAGAGCTAAACATATATGTATATATACTCATCACTTCAATTACTTGTCGCATGTGTCATATGATTTTTAAAGTCTACTGAAGCAACACTTTTCAATTCAGATGTTTGTATTTCACATTGTTTTAGTTGATAAAATACCTCTCTCTGTAACCAGATTATGAATGGAATGAAACGTATGACTCGGTAGAAAATTCTGCTTCAAGTCTTAAAATAATCTATATAATGCTCGTACTGATGTCACTTGCGAAGCGATTTCGTTTCACGCCAAATAGGCACACATGCTATGCTATACTGCAACTGTTATGCTATAAAGAAGCAAATTTAGATGGTGAACATATTATTTATGAAGCTATTCAATATGATGAAACAAATAATTATATGTGTTTATTTTTTATGCTATATGTGAAGTCGAAATATTATTTGTCAGTAGAATGGAAACAAATTGGGGATGAAATGTTGGATTTGTATAGAACGCGTATGGCAATATTTTGTTTTCATACAGCTCGATTGTCAACCAATGAATTTGTAAATCATTTAGATGCATTGAGCTCTGATAACAATTATAATAAAGTGGCATCACTATTAATTATATTAGATAAAATAATGTCATACAATGATTTAATGAAAATATATTGTAACAAAACGATCTAATAAGTTGTTATTTATGTAAGATGTTATTCAATAAAACACAAGAAGACTGGATGAATTATGCTTTATCACTGTTAAAAAAATCAAATACAAATGTAATTGTTTTTCTGTCATTCATGCATGTTTATTTTAAAGATGATTGCTATTGGAACAAAAAGTGGAATAATAATGATTATATTCATTATGATAGAATTAAACTGTTATTATACTTTAAAATGAAACAGCCATTTGAAAATATCGAAGAATGGAAAATAATTGTCAGAGATACATTTCAACATGATCAGTTGCTTGGAATAGAGTTAATTAATATTTCTAATCCAGATTGGAAATTACTCGGCGATGTTTATTTCAAGCTTGGTGAATACAATTTGGCATTAAACTGTTATTTGCAAATAAAAGATAAAGATGTGTGTAATAGGTAAGCAAAAACAACGGCCAGTCTTCTAGTTACTGAAAATATAAAGTGATCCGGACATTTATCAAGTATATTTTATTTCAAGTTAGACGCAACAACTTGTATCTTACTAGACTCGAATTGGAATACCTGCTACTTTATGCGCCTTTTTAAACCCACGCTGTGAAGGAAAAGTGTATGACCAGACTAGGATTCAAACGCAGGAATTTGACGTTCCGTGTCTATGCTCTAACCACTGAGCTACCTGGTCGACATCTCTATCCGTCACGCACGCCAAGATTTTCGACGTTCAATTCTAGCTCTTTTCGGTCAATATTTATAATTTTTCATAAGATTATACTTCTCTTTTCTCCACAGCTCTTCCCCCTTCTCTAAGCAGTTTAATAAGTAGGAAGCTTAGATTTTTACCACACAGACGCTCAAAACCCTAGTCAGGGTACTGCAAAATTTTGTTTATTGTGCACGGTTGCTGAAAAACGTCTAAAAACCGATCTTTAATTCAAAACCTCATAATTCAGAGCGAAAACGAAATTTTAAAAACGGAAAAACACCGAAATAGGACCTTGAGCAACTGTGATAAAGACTGCAGCTCAATCTGATCAAATTCTGATAGAGTAGGTAGCGGCGCCAACGAAGATAAGAAAACGACATCGTACAGTAGTGCATCATTGAGCTTCCAGTAAAATGGTAATAGCTCACGAGCTCGTCAGCCAGAAAGCATTGCAGTAAACTGGAAAACGTCTTGTTTAGAAAAAAACTTTGTCTTACAAGACTACCGATTGAAAAAAAAGGTAAACATTTTTGTGATTTCTCCGCAAGTTTTAAAAAAATTAAATTATTTCTTTGAACAAACGATTGAACAGCCGGAAGTGATGTCATTTAATAGCAGACGTTTACCTGTATACAAATCAGGGCTTCGTACGGGGTGAGACGTCTCTTGGGATTTCATGGAACGAATAAGGTAAAGAAAGAAACTTGTTCCATAAGGTAGCGTGAAGAAAGAATTTTTCAAGTATTTTTTCCCTTTTTTCATCAGAATAATGACAAAAATGAAAATGTCGCAAGACCATGTGAGGGATACTTTTTTATTCAAAAGAATCTATGGATGTGAACGCTTATAAGGGGTTTTCACAAGAAGTTGGTGTCTATCTTTCTTCACGGACGTTTGCAGAGAGAAAAATTGTGCCTCCTTATCAAGTTTTTCTATCTGAACTTTTACTCCTCCTATAAACTATACAGTCTCCGAACAAGAGACTTGCTAATAAACCATCAGAAAATGGTTCACTTGTGCTTTTTCAGCTATTTTAAGCACTAATTTCTCTCATATTTAGTCATCTTAAGTGATATAGCCAATTGTCTCAGGGCGCAGCATCAGAAAGAGGAACCAAAGGACGGGGTCTGAACGGTATGACCGGCCCGAACTAGATGCTGTCATTAAGTAACATAACAACGGATAGGATGGTTTGTAGGTTATAAATTCACGCAAGGCAAAGCAATGATTCTTTAGCCGTTTTGCTGTGCCTGTGTTTAGCGTTCAGCTTAAGTAGCATGCGCATGGTAAATGCCCGTCGCTGGCAATTGAAAAGTTACAAAAGTACTTTGAGAGTCATTTTTAGTTTTTAGAAATATTGACTCTTTTTACAGTGAGTATGATATTCTCTCAAATGAAATCTGCAAAACTGCGTATGTCACATTATTTACTCTATTCTTTGTTTTTTGTCAAACAGGCATATACTATCAAATGCAGAAAATTGTAAAGATGTAAATTTTACAATTTTATACAACATAGTCGTTTACAAAACAACAAAAGTAAATCAAGACTTTTTAGCAAAGATTGTGTTGAATTTATACTTTGTGTTATCATTATCCACAATTGAAAAACAGCAAATTGATGTCAAAAGTATATTAATTTCAGTATTAAGCATTTATGTTGAAGATAAGGAGATTTTAAACAATAAATATGTTTTCAAATTACATTTGTTATTAATATACCAAATTTTGGATGATAAATTACTTTTGAACGGTGGACTCCACTGGATGAATAAATATAAAAAAGGTGATTCTGAAATGACAAAATTATACGAATTAAATAAAACAAATACGGACGATCTATCGTACAAACAAATAAATGTATTGACATATGACTTATCAGTTAAAGAATATACAAAAGTTATTAATCAAACGTTTAACATAGGAGCGTTAAAACGTAAGTTACATGAATATATTGGACATAAAAGAAATATAGAGGATGTATTTCCAATTTATTGTCGTTCAAAGCTGTATATTATTGAAAGTCAAATAAGTAAGCTTGAGAATAACAATTTAAAATCTCTAAATATTTTACATAAAGCATTATTGTGCATTATAGGAAAAGGAAATAACAATATTTCTCTGTTGAATGTGGATATCGGTTTCTCTTCCCCAGGTTCTGGATCTTCATCATGAGCTGGATCTTCCCTATCATCTGAATCTCCACCATCATCTGGATCTCTATCATGATCGTTATCTTCGTTGTCACCAGCTGAACTCTCCTCTTTACACTGGGTTTCAGTGAATGATAATTGATTGCGAGCAACAAGTGGTTTATAATATTTATAAAATTTGGCTTCTGGTGATGCATCATCGTTGTGTAATGGTAATACATAATGACATTTTATTTTACATCTGTCGTATTTCCTAATACTGATCTGTTCGGCATCAGATTCAACCATTTCTGTTTGATCCTCGATAGGCATTAATCTTAAAAGATTTTTAACAGCATCTGCCATAAAATTAGTATTCAGTGTTTCATTTGTTTCTTTTATTTCCGTTTTAAGCGACTGACTCATATCTTCATCGTTAGAACCCATATGTTTGTCGTTTATGTATATTGAAGCAAAAAAACATAGTTGATATCATAGCTGCCCCCTTGTCCGGACAGGCATGGGCGAGTCCGAGTCCTTAAAACTTTAAGCCGAGTCCAAGTCCAAGTCCTTAACATTAACGACCGAGTCCGAGTCCCGAATCCATTTCAAATCCGGTAATTTTTTAGATTCTTTTTTGATGGGTATGGTTTATTTCTCTTTTATAATTTACTGAGCCCTGGATAGATGTTTGAATTGTCGAAAATAAGATTACTTTGCATGTCTGTCTCCTGAACAATATTTTCAATTTCTTGTGAAACAGAAGGTGTTATTATTTCGCTTTTCATTTTACCCTGCTCATTTGTGTTGAAAGTTGAATAGGTCGGACTCGAAATACAAAAACTCAAGTCCGAGTCCTTCAAATACATCTTCAGTCCGAGTTCGAGTCCGCAAAACATCTTCCAGTCCGGACTCGGACTCGCCCATGCCTGTGTCCGGACTTTTTTCTAGGTCGAGAAAAAATATGTACAAAAAATATATACTCACAATCAATCCACATAGCTACACACTCAGTGTAGCGATTGAGAACCAGTCGTTTAGTTTGGAAATTTTTTTATTGTAGTGTATGAAGATATAATTTATTATGAATAAAAAAATTTATTATGATTTGGGCCGAATTTACTATGAAAAAGGTGGTTATCAGAGTGCTTTAAAATATTATCACAAATCGCATGAATATGCACATTTAAGCGGAGATTATTTATTTCGACTGATAGAATTGTACAACAGCATAGCTGAAGCCAATGATAAAATATGCAATTACGAAGATTCTTTAAAATATTATACAAAATCCTTGAACATTGCTCTTTCCTCTAAATCCAGTAATTTTCATTATATGGCCAATACGTACAGCAGGATGGGAATAACTTTCAATAATAAGGGTCAATATTCGCTGGCATTGGACTGTTGTCACAAGGCCCTTCAGATTCGTTCAAAATTTTTGAATTATTCTGATATTGGACTTGCAACAACATATAACAATATCGGCCTTATTCACAGTTATAGCAACAATTACAAGCGAGGTTTGATTTATTGTATAAAAGCACGGCCTTTTTAACGGTCTTTTCTGCATAATATAATGAAGAGTGTTATTTTCTTTCCAATTAGAAAGCTCATAATTTGTTTGTTTTTAGTCACAATATGGTCAGGTTTACCATTTGTACAAAATGAAGATTGTTACGTTGTGTAAGAAAAAAAAACGCGAGAATTTTATACTAATAAAAATAACGATTATCATAGAGCACAAAACCTGTTTAATGTCATTTTTATAAAAAAAAGAAGTCTGTTAGGATTCACCTAACTTGTTCAAATCTTGACTTGTATATACAATTGGTTTATTAAGAAAGAAAAAGCACTCTCTCTTGTACAGTATATGCCTGTGTATAATATATAGGCGAGAAAAAAGGAAAGAAAGAAAGGACGTAACAGAAAAACATGATGTAATATAAACAGTGATGTAATATATACAATGGTGTCACAGGATGGCATGATGAGATAGTGACTATATGAAATACAGTTCCTGGAAAGGAAATGTTTCTTTTATATAATCACGCAGTAGTACACTGACGGTACAGTATCTCTGTCCATTTTAGGTCTCGTGACCTAACAGCTCCACCCACCAAAAAAGATGAACTGCCACGTTCATCGAAATTTAAATAGCTCTCACATGTCTTTTTGTTATTCAATGTTTCAGCACTGCCACTACTCTTATCATTGAGCAAACATTTGCATGCGAGTCTGTTCCTTTTGCCTTAATTGTGGGATAACAAATAGTTGGATAATTGATGTGTCTTCTGATATTACACTGTGGTTGTTCACTACCATTTTAATATTAGAACTGTTGAAGTTAGATCAATCCTTCATGAAGCTGCCACCAGCATGATTCATTAGACCAATACCACCATTTCTCAGCTAAATTAGTTTCATCACTTTTAAAACAACTAAATACATAATTGTGTGGATAACCCTGGGCCCGTAAGCCGTTGAAATGTTATGAGAGACGTTCATGGACTGGTGCCAAATGACTAACATGGACTGTTTTCTGGAATTTTGATTCTAAATCTTCAATGAGATAATTTGGATGTTGCGCCTGAATCACAATATAGGGACCAGAGTAAAGTTCCTCCATCTTTGATTGACGACTTGTGTTTTTAGAAAAAACGTAATCTCCGGGTAAATAATGAGGATCAT